ATTCACTATCATTAGTCATCATTAGACAAATACAAATTAAAAATTGTGATATATACCATTACACAAACATAATGGATAAACTCTAAAATAAAATTTAAAAAAGACTGAGAATACTAAATATGGGTGAGGCTATGAAGATGGGAGAAAAAATATACAATTTTTTTATAAATCATTTGGAAAAAGATTTGATGGTATCTACTGAAGGAAAACATATGTATACCATATGACCCAATGATTCTACCCTTGAATATATACTCAAAAAAAGTGAATAATAATATGTACAAAGATATATGCATAACATATCATAGAAGTTTTATTCACTAATGTTCACTAGTAGAATGGGTAAGTAAATTATATTGTTAATGTACAGTAGAATACTACATAGCTATTAACAAAATAAACTTCACATTCAACATGGATTCAAGCAAAAGAGAGTATTTATTAAAAATATTTTTTTATTTATATGAAGTTTCAAAACTGATAAAACTAACCCATCGTTATAGAAATCAAAATGGCTTTTACTCTAGAGAGTTACTGACTGAAAGGGGAAACCAGCGATTTTCTTGGCTGCTGAAACTGTTACATATATTGTTTTTGGTGGTAGTTACATGGGAATGTACATATTTACAAAGTTATCAATCTCTACACTTAATACTTATGTACGAGACATCACTATAAATGGCAATGCACTCGTAGACACAGACATTTGCCAAGTTTTCAGAATAATAAACTAAGTAAAAAAAAACTTAATATACCTGGTTTTGAAGTGATTTTCTACTCTCACGTATGGTTTCTGTCTGGGTAACAATGTCCTTTGCTTTAAAAGTCTTATTTATTTATCATTGTCTAGTACAAATGACATCTAAAGTATTTAGTATTTTACTATTTGGTATGACATCCTTTTAGTATTTTCAGATTCTTTAAGGCAGCTAGTTGCTTCCACGTCACTTCTGGACCAATTTATATTATAATGTTCCCATCTTGCATGTAGATTTCCTACGGAGCAAGAAGTTCCATAGGAAAATGGACTCTTTACCTTTTAATCCCCAGATTCCCTGGTATTTATAGTGCAGTTTCCATAAATGCACTGTATGCATTATGTGCCAGGTCCTAGATTACAAATTGCATGAGATTGTGGCCTATATGTTCGGTTATTCTATGGATCTGCAGTGTCTAGAAGAGAGCTTGTTTCATATTAATACCGCAATAAATGTTTATGGAATGAATGCATGCCTACATGTAATAGAGCTGATAAGCTGCCTCTCTCCTCTGGGCCATGGGGTCACTACCCCTTTCAGAGCTTTTGCTATCTGATCATGGCTCCACTGAATCATGTAGCTATCTTTGCAGCTTGTCCCAAATATGGGCATTTAAAAGCAATGAGGTCTTTTAAAGACATTGCCTTGATTATAAACTGTAAACGCAACAACAATCATAATTCATAATCTTCACAAGCCCTAAAGTTGCTCTGATTATTATGCTGCATGGGGTGACCAGGCCGGCAGAGGGGGGCAGTTGGGGCAACCAGGTCGGCAGGGGGACAGTAAGGGTTTGCCAGGCCAGCTGGGATTGGGGGCAGTTAGGGGCAAACAGGCCAGGGGCGGGGGGAGTGGGGGAAGTTATCAATCTCTACACTTAATACTTATGTACTTTACTAAATGTAAGTTCTACCTTAATAATTTTTTAAAAAATATATTTTATTGATTTTTACAGAGAGGAAAGGAGAGGGATAGAGAACTAGAAACATCGATGAGAGAGAAACATCGATCAGGTGCCTCCTGCACACCCCCCACTGGGGATGTGCCCGCAACCAAGGTACATGCCCTTGACCGGAATCGAACCTGGGACCCTTCAGTCCACAGGCCGACACTCTATCCACTGAGCCAAACTGGTCAGGGCGACCTTAGTAATTTTTTAAGTGACAAACTCACTGAGGCAAAGAAGATAAAAAGACTGGCACTATATTCCTTATAATGTCTATTCTTATGAAGTCTTTGGCTAAGACAAGGTTGGGACTGTTCTTCCTGTAGGTATTTTCTGAAACAGTCGTGGTTTCACCCTTTAATCTGTCAGATTGCATACCTAAGGGCATGCCAGAGGGCAGTACTCAATTTTCCTCAGGATTTTTTTTCTCATTTTTGATCTTTCCTTCAACTAATTATAGCTTGCAGATATCCAAGTTCTGTTTATATATTAATGAAAATGCATCCTGAAACAGCCATGTAAGGAAATAAATTTAAATACTGTGTCAAATTTCTAGTATTCTTATCTGAAAATAATTTTTTAAGACTTTTGGCTTAAAATTGCCTATTGGGTGTAAAATAAGTGTAAGTGGGGATTGATGCTAAAGCCAATGAGGTGATGATACCTCTGCTGCTTCTGAAATACTTCTGTTCAGAAAAGCTGCCTTTGGCCCTGGGCAGTAGCTCAGTTGATTAGAGCATCATCCTGATATGCCAAGGTTATGGGTTCCATCTCCAGTCAGGGCACATGCCAAGGTCAGGCTACAAATGCATAGAAAGTAGAACAGTAGGTTGACATTTCTCTCTCTCTCTCTCTCTCTCTCTCTCTCTCTCTCTCTCTCTCCCTCTCCCCCTCCCTCTCCCTCTCTTAAATCAATAAATAAAATTAAAAAGAAGAAAAGCTGCCTTTATCTCAGTACAAGTACCTATAATGTCTAGGTTAAAATGACCTACTTAGGTCCTAGATTTGCAGACCTCCAGGTAATGGAGAACCATGTGGACTTTTCTGAAGGCCTGGCCCAAACCCTGCCCTTATTCTCTAGGGAATAAGCCGCTGTCTGGGTCCCTGGAATCTCAACCTTGGACCCACTTGTTTTTCCACCCCCACAACATCTCTATGTCTGCCTCGTCATTACTTCTGCAGGATTGCTGTTGGCCTCAATCTCTGCCTGTTCCCTCCATTTTTTCATCCGTCAGGCCCCACCTCTTGACTCTCTGTCTGAGAACTGTCTGAGTGAGAGTCCAAAACCTGCACTTTCATAACAGTTCTGAGCCAATGATGACAGTCTCAGAATGACCTGGACTCAATCCTCATTCTAAAATGCTTAACGTACTACTGATGCCCCAGCATTAACCTTTATCTTCATGGTTTGACTCAGTTGCTCCAGGTAGATATCAGAACTTCACATAAACAATGTATTCATAGCATTACTTTCAGAGAAAAATATTAACAGCCTAAAATCAAACTTTAGCCAATATTTTATTAAGTACAGTATAAGTCATTCACATAATCAAAATAATGCTCATAATAAATCATGATAGAAATTCTGGGGGAAATTAGTAAACAATATTTTGTAAAAATTGTGTATTTATATGTAAATCAAAGCAGTAAATTTGTCCATAAGGGGGAAAAAAAAGACTTAAAAGACAAAATCTTTAAATTGTCAATACCAGTGGTTTAATTGATGTGAAATAAATAATATTTTTGGTACATCTTAAACCACTTATAACAGGCTTTTTGAGGTATAATTAAGGTCCACTTTAGTGTATACCATAAAACATCATAACAAAATAATGAGCATACACACCACCCCCAAAACACTTCCCTCAGAAAATGCAACAACAGAAATTACAGACAGCCTCATCATGGAACCTAACTTAAATAATCTCACCTTACGAATATATAAATGTGTATACAAATAAGTATACATATATATGTTGCTATAAATGAAAAAAAATATATATATATACATAATCAACCTACTATATTTAAGTAGCTCTTTTTTATATTTTCTTCAATTAACTTAGGGGGGAAATTATGTTTTTACTGTATTTTTTTGAGAGTTAAGTAATAAAATAGAATGCCTATTTCATCTTCTATGTCACTATATTACTATAAATCTTGGCGTTTGAGGGTATGTGACATTTTGGAGGGATAAAGAGAGGAAAGGAAAGAAAAAGAGGACTAAAGAACAATAAAGGCAAGATTGTTTTCATGTGCATGTTCCCTGATGTAATTTACAAAATTCCCATGATATTGAACATGTTTGTGTGCAGGGGAAACTTAATCTATTTTTTGGAAGTTTTTCTCAAAATGAGAATAAAATTGTTGCCCTTCCCCCCCCCCCCGCCCCCCCTTATCACTTAGCAGGATGGAGTCAAAAATAAACTTGGCAAATTGTTAAAAAAAAAAAAAAGGTGGCAACCAAATTTAATAACCTATACTTATTCATATCCTAAAGCAACCTCTATAGAATAAAAATAAAGAAGAGGGAATACTAATTCTGACTTTCCTGACTCCACTGACAATAATCAGATGTTACATAATATCTCTAAATCATGTACAAAACTTACTGGTAACCAGTAAGGCACCAGAGAATTCAAATCTAATCTTTTTGTGTTTTTATATTAATTTCCTGTTGCCACTTTAACAAATTGCTAGAAACTTAATGTCTTAAAATAACACTAATTTCTTACCATACAGTTCTGGAGGCCAGAGTTCCAAATGGGCCTGGCTGAGCTAACATCGGGATTCATCAGGGGAGGGTCCAGGCAGGATCCATGTCCACACCTTTTCCTACTGCCAGAGGGAGCCCTTATTCTTTGGTGATGGTCCCTTCCTCCATCTTTGAAGTCAGCAGTGGCTGGTCAAGTCTTTCTCATGATTTATTGTTGACACTGCTTCCCTCTTCCACATTTAAGTATCTTTTTGATCACATTGAACTCACATGGATAATCCAGGATATTCTCCCTGTTTTAAAATCAGCGGATTAGCAATTTGAATTCCATCTGCTTAATTGTCTCATGTCACATAATGTAACATATTACAGTTCCAGGAATTAAGACATTAAGTCTATTATTCTTCCAACCACAGTTCTGTCTTTACCTCTTGATCCCAATGCCCAACATATTAAATAGTTGTTAGGCATTGTCCTGCTGGTTTCTTTTTTCAGTAAAAGTGGTTTAAAAAAAGTCTTATTACGAAACTTTATCTCAGGAGCTGACAGTAATCTAAAATTATGTTACTTTTCTTTCCAGGATAAAAATGAAACACTTCTTATTTTTGGCTGCTGCTGCTGGATTTCTGCCTGGTTTGATTATAAGAATATGTGGGGTTTGTATATTTCATAATTATTTTCCAGAAAAAATAGAACTAACCGTGTAGTACACTCACTTTGTTACAGGCACTATGTGAGGATGTTATGTCTACTATTCACCTAGTTCTCACCATCGCCCTACTAGGCAAGTACTATTCTTTTATTTTGTTTTGTTAATCCTCACCAAGGATATTTTTTTCCCATTGCTTTTTAGACAGAGTGGAAGGGAGGAGAGAGAGAGACAAAGAGAAACATCGATGTGAGAGAGACATATTGACTGGTTGCCTTCTGCCGGTGCCTTGACGAGGGCCTGGGATTAAATCTGCAACCCAGGTGTGTACCCTTGATCAGGAATTGAACCTGAGACTCTTCAGTTGACAGGCCAACACTCTATCCACTGAGCCACACTGGCAGGGCCTGGGATTAAATCTGCAACCCAGGTATGTACCCTTGACAGGGAATTGAACCTGAGACTCTTCAGTGCACAGGCCCAGGCTCCAACCACTGACCCATACTGGCCAGAGCAGCAAGTACTATTCTTAATCCCTCATTACAGAGAGCGGTTAAGTCATGCAGCCAAGGTCAGATAACTAATTAGCAATGGAGTGAATATATAAGGCCTGAATCTCACTACTTATTGAAAACAAGAACTTTAACAATCAAAGACAGAAACAAAATGCTCAATGGTATAATTAGGAAGAAATCCCTTATATGTTGTGCTCACCCACTAATGTGTACCTCTAAATACCTCAATGATATGAAGAAAATATGACATTTTTTAACGTTCCCCAAATTATTTTTATTATAAGCTGAAGTCAATAGCTTCAGTATAGAAAATGGTTTTTATATTTTTATATGCTAGATAGGATAAATCAGATGTGTAATATAAATAAGCTGCTCTTTATTGCAATTAATGGTAACCTAAAATATTAAGGATATTTATTTTTCTTCTTGGTGAGTTGCAAATAAAAGGTAAACAATTTTTTAAAAGTCACAAATTGTGGATTATGGCTGACTTGAATCTTATATTAAATATACTTTTATTGATTTCAGAGTGGAAGGGAAGGAGATAGAAACATCAATGAGAGAGAATCATTGATCGGATGCCTCCTGCACGCCCCCTAGTGGGGATCAAGCCCACAACCTGGGTATATACCCTGACCAGGAATGGAATCATGACCTCCTGGACCATAGATTGCCACTCAACAACTTAGCCACAGCATCCGGGCTTAAATCCTACTTTAAACTTACAGATGCAAATATTAATGTTTTCTCATATGAATAAAACGAACATGTAAGTGGTTTTTATCTGGGAAGCAAAGAGAACACGTGGAGATGTGGTGGGGAATGAGCCAAGGAAGCAAAGTCAGTCAGTAAAAGGTTTGCTACCAAGATTATTATGGTTCATATTGCCCAATAACAAGTGCTTCAATGTGGTCCAAAGTACCAATTATAAAGTTCAAAAATCCCCACCACAGGCTATTTCACTATTCTATAGACTTGTAGAATATCATACTGACATTCAGAAATCCTCAAAACTAGCACTAAAGATATGGAAAGTAACACATAGAGATAACAAATTGTAAAATGCTGCTTATCATTATTTATTCAATATAAACTATGAATTAAAATTGTGTATAGGTCTGCACAGAACACATTGTACTTGAAAAATTGCACTTTGAAGAAGTAAGACTAATTAATCATTTTCTGGTAACAGGTAAATGCAGGTAAAGTTTCATATGAGACAGTCCTTACTGAGTCACTAGCTGTCCAAAAAGAAATTATTGATTTACATAACACCATCAGGAGAGCAGTGAGACCAAGAGCCAGCAACATGCTGAAAATGGTAAGATTAATTAAAAAGCAATAGCAATGATGAAAATAATAGCAATGGTGCTTCCTGAGTTTTTATTAAGTTCTATTCACTTTCAATATGCTGCAAGTCAGGTCTTCACAAGCAAACCTATGGCCTAGCAGAAGAGAGGCTCAGAGAAGGTAAGCAATTTCCCCAAATCCTACAGTTAGTAAATGGCAGAGCAACAATTCCAACTCAGACAGCCTGGCTTCATTCATACTGTGCCCTGGGACAGTTCTCTCAAACTCGAGCGTGCCTAAGGATCGCCTGAAGAACTCAGTACAGCACAGGTCTCTGAGCCCTGCTCTCTGAGGCCTTGATTTAGGAGGTCTGGGGTGGAGACCAGGCCAAGTTCCCAGCTGATGCTGCCAGTCAGTGTTGTCCGTATAGCAATCTTTGCCTACGAGTTACTGAGGTCCTTCATAGCTGTCATCAATGGTAGGACACTCTTCTGAGAATAAAGATGTCCCGATTCTAAGCCGGGTAATGCTATCAGGTAAACAAAATACTGACAAATCTATTTTCCAGTTCCCTTGCATCTCATGAAAAGAGAGAGAGAGAAATTGTCTTTCCACTAGAAACCAAAAGCTATCTCAGGCATTGTTACACTGTGAGTGCTGCCACTGACAGCCTATTGTGCTCACTGCTGACGGGCACTCCTCTAGAACCTATTATGTTAATTCATTGAATTCAGTAATTCTGTGGTTAGATACTACCATTTCCATTTTACAAATGATTAATTTGACTCTCAGAGAAATGAGGCAGCTTCTCCAGTCATCAGTACTGCATCAGTACAGAGTTGACTGCAAAGGGCCAGCTCCAGGCACCCACTCTTAATTAGATACTTCCCTTAGGATGAACATGATCCAAACTCCTTGGTTTCCAGATGAGCAAATAAGTGTAGCAAGGAGGTTATAGAGTAAATAGAAAATATGGCCACTACTATATTTTATTATTGTGGATTAAGGTTTATATAATAGAAACAGACTATAAGAATGGCTGGATTCTCGCGCTAACTACAAAGGTGTGAGAGAGCAACAAGATGACAAATTAGGCGCACCAGTAAAGCTGGGTAACATTTTAAAGGGAATATGGGAATCGAGCTGTTTCATAAACAATTCACAGGATCTGGATAGAAAGAAACTGATAGAATTACAGACAGCATGGCTGAAGTGCCCATCACCACTGCCAGCCAGGGATTAAAAAAAAAAAAAAA